GATATTCAATAGGTGACATAATCCACTTTCGGAAAGAAAATCGTCAAGGAGACTTCTGAACCAGGTTGTAGTTTTACTGCAACGGAGGTTCACTGGCAGTCTGTTCCACATGGTTGAGTAGCTAATAAGGAAAACATTCAGACGTAGGTTTGTGTGGGTTCTTGGAATCGCTAGAATATTCTCCTTATTGCGTAGATTGTGGGATGATACCATAAGGTATGAAGGGGTGGATACCGAGGAGTAGGAAATACCGTTAATAAGCCTGTAGATAAAGACAAGATTTAATCTGATACGTCTGAACCAAAGAGGTTCTAAGTTGAGTTGTTGACATCTTTGGTAATAGTCTTTGTTATCGGAATACCCCAGAACAGCTTTGGTGAACCTTCTTTGAACACCTTCAATTCTAATCAGGTCATTATGTCTACAATTACTGTAAGCTAAAATACCATATTCAAGTATGGGTAAGATACATTTTCTGTATAGTAACAATCTCGATTCGATATTATTGAACTTTATCACTATGAATCCGATGAGCTTTCTAGCTTTGGATACTTGAGATATAATGTGTTCAGAAAAGTTCAGACTATTGCTATATCTTAAACCCAGGTAATGAACAGTGTTGGGAGGTTTGAGTGTATGTGTCTGTACAGTATTTCGGCCACTATAAGCATTATAAGCCACACGGCCAATAACTGGAGCAATGCAGTCAAGACAAAATATCAGGTTGTGGTGTAGATTGGAAAGCGCAATGTCAACATTATTTGTGGTAAAATAAGTTTCCCATGGTAAACATTGAATGAGAGTTCAATTGTATGGCGTTTAAAGAGTGAATAATACTCAATACAACTCTATGGTCACTCATAAAAAACTCACGACTGGTATGTACTGAGATAGAGTCTATGTTGATTGTCAACATTAAATCAAGTGTATTATTCCCCCTGGTTGGTTTTCGGACCTGTTGAACCCATCCACAAATGTCTAATGTTTCAACTAGCTTGTTATATCGAACTGGTACCGGAGTCAAGCCCCATGTGATTTTTGGCAGATTAAAATCACCTCCGATGATTTTAAAAGTATGCGGTTGGTGCGAAGCAATGGAAAATAATTTTGTTAGTAATTTGTCAAACTTAGTATCCGCATGAGGTGCTCTATATATGCATCTCACAAGTAAATAATTTTGGGATCCACAGTTTACAGTAACCCAAGTGGTTTGCGAGGTTCGAATATATCAACGTTAAGTGCGTGGTCAGTTATATGAATGTTATGATTAGTTTTCCTGTTATCCGTTGCACAGTTGCTGTAACTGGGTGTTGCACTAACAGGGGTTTGGATTGTGTTATCCCATTCTTCATCAGCACAACTACTTCGGGTTGAATCTAAGTCAACATTCTCAAGTGGATGGACACCACCTACATCGGGATTACTTTCTTCTGGGTTTTGAACTTTATGAGATTCAGAAGAGTTTTTCGGTGGCGGCAAAGTTGTTAAGCTAGACGTCCTCTTAGAATCGGACTTAACTTTACAACCATTAGGATTATGATGCGTTTGAGAGTTTGACGCTGATGGTCTGTAGTTATCCCTTCCTGCTTTTCGCTGGCATGGTGTTTTATCCGGAAGAGTCTTAATATCCTTGAAAATCTGCTTTTGTCTCAATGAATTGGGGGAATTTAAAAATTCACTGGCGTCTACAGATGAGTTGAATTTGAACAAGATCGGTGAGTGCATACCAGGATGACTTCTTTTTAATCTTGTGCATACACATGGTGCGTGTGTCATATTGCTGGCTCTAAGCAGACTAGATTTGATATTTTTAAGGGCACGTGTATCCGGTATATTAAACACAATTGCATTGCTAGACCGTCTTATTCTTTCAAATACCTCTGATGCAACACGATCTAGGAAAATATTTATGTCATTCATTTGATCTGGAGTCTCTGTGAGGTTGGGGTTGATGAGATATTTAAGCGCACTGAGAATGTTCATGTCTACTTGCAACTTTTTTGTAGCATCCATATGGTTGCAGTTGCGATTATCATCACTGTTTACCATCAGAGTTTTCAACATGTCTGGAATGGAGATAACTGGTAAAAGCTTGTCTGCTTCCGGATGAACGGAGTGGCTCGTCTCGTTGAAACTGTTGGTAATCGTGTCAGTAGTGGTGTTAAATTGTGTTGTTTTCCTACGTTTGGCTGAACGCCTAAAAGCAGGAGTCTTCATTTTCTTTTGTGGCATGATAAGAAAGTGACGTATAGCAAGTGGATTGAACAGAATGTTGGAAATAGGGGTGAAAAAATCAATTCCTAGGGCTCAAGTTAGTCTAAAAATCAAAATCTATGTTTTAACCGAGAGTGAATGGATCGTGAGGTTTAGTGGTGTTAAAAACAAAAGATGACATTGGCAGGAAGATAGTAGTGGAGATGAAGTATTTATGTCAGTATCTGTGTGGAGGCAAAATAGAATATAAAGGAGCAAGTTCGACGACAATTAACACTCCTTTTAGTCTATTCAAATACAAGTTGTTCTCCAGTTATATTTGAAAAATTGATGAATGATGAATTACGTGATCTTAAAGGTGTTGAAGTCTATCAACATGATCTTACTATTGATGGTTCTGATAAAATAGCTCATGAACAGTGACGCATTGCTTTGTTAAGTCGTTTGATTGAAAAAAATGCATCTAGCTTTGAATGTCTTGGATACCCAGTTGATGGTGATGCTTTTTAACCTGGTTTGAAGTGACTAGCCCACCACCAAATACCCACCTTTGAGAAATCTTACAGAACTGCGTTCACTTGTAGGTGCCCTTCTAAACTATTTCCGTTTTGTTCCTTAGTTTTCTTGTCGTGCTAATTGTTTGTTTCAAACATTGACATCCATTTCATTTAAATTGGATGAGGAACGAGGGTCGTGACTACTCAGTCAACTAAACTTTCTTGAAAGTGATGCTCTTCTTCAAACTTTCTCCCTTCTAGTGTATACCTTGTACTAATTACTGATGGATCATATGTAGGTATTGATGCAGTTTTGGAGCAGAAAGCTAGATCAGTGATCTGTGCTTCACTCAAACTTACTGTTGCTGAACAAAGTTGTTCGCAAACTCAGAAGGGAGCATTAACTGTGTTCTGGGCTGTTAAACAACTTCATATATACTTGTTTTTAAATAACATCATCATTATTACAGCAAGCAATTTAGAAAGATGGTATAAGTCAAAAACTCATCGTTTTAGATACACTTCATGGTCAGTATCTTGAATTTGAGTACTTCTTATCATCATAGTGTAACGCGACGTTCGAAACTCGTTTATTCAGATGTTGAGTAAGGCAATCAATTCATAATGACGTGATACTAATGCATTTGAGCTTATTGATAAAAGATATGATTGATTCTATCAAAGCGTTTGGGAAGGCAGAGTTCATGATTCACGTCCTTGCAATCAAGGACGGTTGTTCATTTGCCCACCGCGGTCAGCAGGTTGATTACGCAATATTGTTCCTTCGTCACACCGTGCTGTTGGAGAGAAATGAAGTTTATGGATAATAAGTAGTCACGTAGACCGTCGAACATCAGGGACTTCAGGATTTTCGTATGAATTGAGGGAGCTTCTACAGGCCGTTAGTTTGGAGGTTCACTGAGTCTTCCTTTCTTAAAAATTGATTTAATGTGAGCTAGCTTACAATTTCTGAGACCATGCATCAAATGAGGGGATGTGAAAGCATCACGTTAATCGGTTTTTCCGATATTAAAGTTGCTTCCCTCAGTATAGCAGAATGAATTATATATGCGCTTGGAGGTGTGTCATTATTTAGATGCTGAAGTCTTCGAAACACCAATCCAGCGCCCAGGTTCATTCCTGAGAGTCGTGTTGGGCTGCATGTAATGCTCCCGTCGATTTATTACGTGCGTCACGGTTGAAATATTTGAAAACACTGTCTGACATTATCTCGGCAATGCTGTTCGTTTGACTATTAGGATCTTAAAACTGGGAAACTCCTCTTTTGGCTTTTCGAAGAGAGGCCGCTTGACGGAATAAAATTATCGGGTTGGAAGCCAATGTTTCGGAGACCTGTGTGATTCTCAAAACACCTTAAATATATGCTACACGGACGCCCATGGTCTTCGAAATAAAGTTTGATGGTAGATGAATTAATTCCCGATATAATCGTTGTCACAAAAAATTGGCTCACTGTAGATATAGACTGTTCTCCCATCATTATACGCTACATTTGTATTAGAAGGGTTAGTTTTAAGTCGCATTAGAGGAGGCATAATTTTATACGTTAGGGATCATTTTCGTATTCGTTCAGTCATATTAGAGGCTCTAAAAGTGGTACATGTGAGGTAGGATGTTGTACAATGAAGTCTAGAAACGGGTTAGTGACTATAGGGGGAATATGCCGTAGTCCGTGTTGTCTTGCTGACGACTTTATTTTTGGACACATCTATTCTTGGAGTAAAGCAGAATGTTGTGCCATTATTGGAGACTTCAACCATTATTCATTGTGCACTTGTACAATGTATCGCAAAACTTACACATATTGACTTGAAACATGACCCGCCATTGCTGTACCTTGTCCCCACACACCACTGTGAAGATGTCATCGACATTCAGCACCTTGCTTCACTAGCGAATACTGATCACATTGTATGATGAGCTTTCAAAACGCATAAATCTTTCCTCCTTGTCGTATAGTGGGACGCGAGGTGATCTTATACTAGCATTTCGTATCTTTTACTATGATTTGGGTGTCAGTATGCCTTATCTTTTTGTTCCCTACAGCACTAAAAATCTCCAAGATCATAGCAAGAAGGTTCACAAACCGCGATCTAATAAACTTAACGTGGGTTCCCGTTTTCCTCATCCCGTAGTTAATAACTAAAACGCCTTACCCGAACAATTGATATCAGCCCCATCAACGAAAAATTTCAAGAACAAGCTAAACCTTTATTTGAAGGTAATCTTTCAGGTTCAACATAGGTTCACCAACCTACTATCCAAGTTACTGAAGACTGAAATACTGGCGGGTTTTCCAATTGGGTTGTTACACAGGGAGGCATATGGCTAAGTCGTCAGATCTATTTTATATGAAAGAAGTCAGATCGATATCCTATATTTGACCCCAAGTTATCATTTTTCTGTAAAAATAGGTCCTCAACTTATCAAATTACTTTATGTACACGGAAGCAATACATCTTTATATAAAGGTGTTCAGGCTTTCATTATCGTCACTGATACATTGCCTCAACTCTTTTATTACTCGCCTTATTAGTCTTATCCCTTTGTGCTAATGTGGTATGGCGAGTTGGGTAAACGCACGTTTGAGTTAGGATCTATGTTGATTTTCACTAAACGACCGTAGATGAATGCATAAAGTTTTGATGTGATTACATTGTTTTTGTGTTAAGTGTATAAAGTGACTTTTCTGATATCATTATATAATGGTGTCTTAATTTCGACAAAAGTTTGGGGAAGCCGCCATAGAAAATTTGAGAGAATTGACACCAAAACCCCAATATTTTCCCAAAATTTCCCTTTAACCTTGGTGACGGTCATTTGGCTTTGGGGATTTCCCCAAAAATTTCTCCAAACTTTGGTGAAGGTTGTTTGACTTTGGAGGTCTCCCCAAACTTCGGAGATTGGGATCTGCTACTAAGACAGTAGTATTGATATACAGAGAATAGGTGAACGGTTTCGAACAGCATTTAAAAGCGGCAAACTCTACTAAGAAATATTCGAAACAAAAAGTTCCATCCCATTTGTCAATTTCCTAAACAACTATCTGTTCTATTTATTGACTAAATATTTTTCTAGTAAATTAATAGTCGTTCGTAAAATTCAGTGTTATAATCGTTGGGTTACGTGCTCAGATTTTCTAAATCTATTTCGGTCTATATGTTTATAATATATCAGAGGGCATCTAACATATGCCTCTTATCACCTTCGTTATCGTTTGTTAATTAGATAAATAGTTATATTTAGCATCTAATATCTTAAAAGACTAAAATGTATAGTATTTTCTCATTTAACATTGACTCATTGCAAATACTAGTGGTTTTGTTCATTTTGTAATACTGTCGATGTTCGGTTTTATTTTACATCTACTTTATATTTCACTAGATCCTTGATAATGGGTACTTTAGATCCGTACCCCAGCTCATCAAGTAGTAACTCAAAAAAGTGTATGAATAATCCTATGAAATTCTCAATTAATAAGGATGTAATAAAAAAAGCTAAAAATCAAGATGTGAATTCAATTCAACGTATCGTCGCATATGATCACTTAGAATTTGAAACAAGTATGTTCATATTCTTGTTTTATTTTTCCATGAAGGTGTTATTGAGCAAGCTAAAAATACTTTTAAGAGAAATAACAGTCTTCAGATCAGTGTGACAAGGGAAAGACTTTCTACTCTAGACGATGATATAATGTATGCTAATATTGTTTATCCCTCATTTCACAGGTCTTCTCAACATGAACTGGAAAAAATGGAACTATCACTTGATACACTGCTCAGTCAGGTGTCTACTGAAGTGTCTAATAGCAGTTTGGAAAATAGGAAAATACGTTCTTTAGAGTTGGAGATAGAAACAAAAGCAAGATTCACTCTCCGTAAAGTGTTTATTGTTTTTTGTAGATGAAGCTTATTGACACTTTAATATCTAGAAAATCCGCTCTGTTGAGTAAACTGTCTTCTTTGGAGAAGGCCAACTTTATTTCAGATGACAACGTTTCAAGTGAGTATTTTATTCAAGTTTTTGTCATTGAAAAGTAATCGCACGCTCTTCGAGTAACTGCATCTTACACTACAAAATACGAATATATACCAAGACATGTAGTCAATGCATGTTCATTTTGATTATTTTGAATTTATAGTTATGGTAATTTGTCCACATTACATGTGATTCTTTTCAATGGAGAAAAAACAACTTATCTTTACGTTGAAGTGTTCAAATGAGTTGTATTTTTTCTGCCTAGAATAGTATCTCTGACTTAAATTTCCCTACCATAGTAAATACATGGTGGCGACTTGTATTTCAGAAGAGGAAATTCAGTGTTTTACACTCCGTACATAAAGACAACAAAAAAGGCAACGTGTATATTCGTATTTTCCTGAATTCTTTGGGTTCCCTTCTATAGAACACTGAATAGACAACTATCGAGTAGAATTCTGTCAAAATGGCTCTTTTTGTTGTGAAATTTAATATTATACGGTCATAAGAGTTTACAGTGCAAATGACAGATACTTGAAAGTTAGATTGTAAGGGTTCGCTATAATTACTAATAGTAGTCTAGTGAATAACTTCACTTTGGTAATACATATTACTTTTTGGTTGGATATTTAAATGTACTTGTAGATTAGACTTTTTTTAAACACCGATCTGCTTAGAATGATACATTTCTCTACTACCAAATTGCAAGACTAGTTTTTGAAATCGCATTATTTTGTTTTTGTAGTTGTTGTATCGTTATTATGCGCTACTAATCTTCGTCATTTAGAGTTACTCGTTTTACTTTCGTAATTTAATACTAGAACCAGATGAAGATTTGCTAAGTGTGAATATCGTGAAACCACTGTCCACAGATGACTTTAATTCTCCTATAAAACACCTCAGTACAAAGTTATATAAAGTAAAACGTTGTGAAAACAATGCTGTGGAACTGGAAAAGCTGTCTAAATCTAAGCATAATGATGATGCTGATATAAATGCGTTTCAGGAACGATTGAAACGTCAAAGACGTACTGAATTATTAGAGGAGCAATTAGCTAGAGAACATGAGGTTAGTATTTTTTGTATACATTTTTAATGAGTACATTTTACCTCATGATGTTTTTATTATGTTACTAGACCATCAGTCAGTTATGTAAGTGATTACTAAATGGGTAGTGAATGTTCTAAGATTTTTTGTTCTTCGAGAAGTTACTGTACAATGGAAGAATTTCCCCCACGTAATGTTTACTAATGATTATTGGTTATATTTGAAATAGGATTACTCTAATTCAAGAATGTCGAGTAGTTATATTTTACTGATAATCTGAAGTGAAAGTTGTAATTAGAAGTGTTTTATAGATCCTGAGATAGTAGCTTGTGTTCCTGTGACTAAGGTTTGTATTCTTCTGAAGGTGAAAAGCATTGTTTGATGATAGTCCTAAAATTCTATGTCTGGATTACTGTTATTATTATTATTACTAATGTCATAGTGATTATGAGTAATTGGTTTCATGAGACTGTTAAAATGTTTTTGTTTGTGGGATTTTGTGTAATAAGTATCCATTTGCTGTTTATGTACGATAACAAGTCATTAATATCATGGTCGTATAAGTGGTCCCACGCTTTTTCTATATCTATTCATTTCGGTGTTGTATTTGAATTACGAATTTGTTATGATAGTCAATTTGGAAGCTGTTATAGTTATTAACTTTTTAGCTTTCAGATATTTCTATGCGGTTTAGTATAGCTTATTTCAATTTGGGTGGGTTTGTTTGAACTTGTAGTACTGTCATCTTTTCTTATTTATGTGAGTGTATTCCTCCCTTCAAATGATGATGCATACTTGGAACCATTGATAACTTATGTGGAGAGTTAGATAATATATTACAACATTGGTCTCTTAACTGTTAGGTCATAGGGCCAAAGCTCACCCCATGTATTTTGATTTAAGGAACTAGGTCTTAATACACTATCCTCCAAACAAACAGTATGGTTTGAAGTCAAGTAAAAAGCCTATATGTCTGGGACTGAACGTTTTTGTTGTTTACTTCTACAAATACCAATATTTCTGTTCTTTTTTTCCGTTGAACTAGTTTTCATTTTAACTAATGCATAACTTTAATAAGATTTACTATAATGTACGTCTTACTATTGTTCTCGAATTTCTTAAGAAAAAGATGAATTCATTTTAGGTACCTTCTAGTAATCCTTCTGATGAAAAACTAGATGGTGGATTTTGTGTCCCGGGTTCTATTTGGTGTCGATTATTTGATTATCAACGAAAAGGTGTCAAATGGTTATGGGATCTTCATCAAAAAGGATATGGTGGTATTATTGGAGATGAGATGGGTTTGGGAAAAACCATACAGGTTAGCTTCTGAATTTAGTGTACAAATTATTTCTCATTGTTTGCTTTGTTGGTTTTGTCTATTTATCTCTTTTGGTCGTTACAGTTTTTATAGGTATTATTTAGTGACAAGTTACGTATAGGTTCACTTAATAATAACCGAAATTTATTATATAGAAGTTAAATACTACTATATTGATGTCGCTGAATTTAATTCAGTAGATTTGAATCTGCTACCCAGCATTTGATATTCGATTAATTAGACTAAGAAATTAAAACATCAAAATGTGCGCTATGGTTTCATTTATTAAAAATTTTTTACTTGCATACAAATTTTATGGTATATATTAATCACTGGACAGAATTCAATCCCATGTTCAAATCTTAAGTGCGTTCATTAACAACTATTAACAATATTTTATTGAATACTATCCACTTTTTTCTGTTTAAAGGTCTGAATCACTATATAATCTGTTTTACTTTTGACATAAAATTCATTATGGGTTGATATGTGATTCTAGTGCGAAATGGTAATATTAGTAGAGCAGTATGATTTTTATCGACATTGATATTTGCTTAATTTATAACGAAGTTGATATTTTATTCAGGGTGAACTTGAATTAGATTAATCTTGACTAATTTTCATTATTTTCAAGATTATTGCCTTACTAGCTGGATTGCATTATTCGAACATAGAAGATAGATCGTATCGTTTATATCTATCTACTCGTAATCTAACTTCGGAATGTCAGCAAGAGTGAGTTCCTACTAGTCGATTTTCAGTGTATTTGTCCTTTCTTTTTTCACTAATCTATTCGATGATAGTATGTGTATTGACCAAAAACAAATACTGTACATGAGCTGAGATGGATAATGGCTAGCAGTGAAATACAGGACACGCGTTCCATTCTATTTTGATCTACTGGTCATATTGGGGCAATACACACAGGATGCACATATGCCAAAAGTAGATTGATCACTTGGAATTAGTGGAAAGATTCAAACAACCAATGCAAAAATGAATAACTTTACATTTTAATAGTACAACTCAAGCATAATATAAACTTTTTCCAACCATGAAATCTATGACTATCATTCTCTATTTTCAACACAAAATTGTGAAATGGTGTATACGAATGTTCGTCAATATTAGAACGAATTGTTTGACAGAAATTGGGTGCCGCGTATGTAGAAGACACTATATGTGAAAATTATATTTGAAATAATCTCGGAAACTGAAATTGAAATAACTCCAACGTTTCGTCTAACAAATTTGTCTGGACTTCTTTAGGGCAATAATCATAGTCAAAATTATCAAAGATTTTGGTTATTATACTGAAGAAGTCCAGACAAGTTTGTTAGATGAAACGTTGGAATTATTTAAATTTCAATCTCTGAAATTATTTCAAATATAATATCTTGTGGAATGGTGGTTTATTGGTTGAAACACTTTTCAATTATTAAGTTGAAAGTTCAAACTGTGCCATAAATATTTCAGCTTATGTAAATGAATAGTATTATTAGCAGCGTCCTTACACAAAATGTATAAGTTAATGCTGATTATATAAAACAATACTTTATTACTGATTTGAATTTATAAAATAATTACATACATCTTTATATATGATTGTAAGGTTTATAGGTTCTATAAAGATGTGTTCTATGTGTATATAAGAAGAATATCGTGGCTATAACATTCGAGTTTCTAATTAGATAATTGGTCGACTACTTTTTTCTCTAAATCTTTTATATTCGCTAAAAAGATTCTCATCATATTAAAACATAGATATATGGATGGAGAATATGTTTTTTCGATAAATTCCCTTCATGTTCTACGACTATTTACCTATTATTATTGGTATTATTATTATTATCATTATTATTATTGTTATTATTGATGGCTTTATTCAATATCATATTTTTGGTACAATACAGAATTATCAGCACAATGTATTTCAACAAGTTTTCTTTTCTTATTTCCTAAATGATCCTGACAATAAATATTGAGTGATAGCTAGTTAGACGTTAGCAGTCCAGGGATCGATATCTGAATAATGTTCATTCTTTTCATTGCATATCGCCAGCCACGACGATGTCTCTGATTGTACCTTCTTTTAGCCTGTACGGTGAAAGGTCGTGAACTTTTCATAAACGCGCCTGAACAGGTTATGCGATTAATAGACAAAAACAGATGACTTGTTGAAATATATATATCTATGTATCTATATATATATGGTTGTAGAACTTGAAGAGAATCTTTTATATGGTCAGTTTTAATTTCACTGAATAAATTTCCATAAAACACTGTCGATAATGTAAAGTATCAGTTACGGTGAAATGAGCGTCTAAAAATGAAAACGTTTATTTAAATAAAAGGATTTTCTTTTCTTCTCCAATAATACTTGTTCAGCTTTCATACATCTGTAGCGTGTGAAATTTTCTGGTATTTTGTAGGGGAGAAAACTGAATATAGTTTTCCAGTCAAATTACATTATTCTCCTTAGAAGGTAATACACTTATTGGTTGTGTTGTTACCGGATAATTCCTAAACCTCACCATTCTTGTCTTACTGTTTATGGACTTTAGGTAATATTGTATCTCCAGTGGTAACATATTTTACCTATATCAACTGTATAGATCATATTACTTAATTTTCTCGATGGAAATATGTGTTTTCATGTTATTGTGTATTAACTTATCAATACAATATTAAGCAATATGAATTTTAGAAATATTATCGTGAGCTTTTAATTTCTTTCAGACTTATCATGTACATCAGTGTACTCAGTGTGGAGTATTTTTTGCCTACTATAGCAATATTTATATAACCTTAGTTCTGGTATTCTTTTCTTAGTTTATTCAGTCTTTACTAAATTTGTTTTTCACCTATGGATCACTGTAGGTGTATCTGAAGAACAGAAGTTAACTGCTATAATCATTACGACACTAACAATTCGGCAATTACAGGTTATATTTTTATACATATCATTGTGTAACATAAAAGGATCGACTCATGAAATAGCACACTTTGATGTTTAATTCAAATTTATCAATGACATATTTCACTATTTATTACAAATGATCTTCAGTAAGAATAAAATAATGATTTGAAAAGGTTTTACATAATTCCATTTTCTTTTTTGACTCACAAAAAATTGTACACTGTTGATGCATATCATTAACTCATTTATTAAGCAATAGTGTATTAAGCAATAGGTTCATGGAATCGCTTTCTATCCAGACGTTAGTTGTGTAAGGCTTGGTAATATTAATCTACTGCTCGTACTGATGTAAGTGTTTCAGTCGAGTTGAGTGCTTTAATCAGTAATCCATCGTCAGTCCACTGTTAGTTTATAAGCTCTTAATAGAGGTATGAACAACCTTGAGTAAATTCCACTTAGGTATCATTTTGTTAAGATGAGTAGTATACCTCCCTTATAATGTCAATTTAATTCACAAAAATAAGAAAACTTTTGTGGAAATTCAAAAAACAGAACAGTTGTAAGTAGTTAATGCTATCCACCGTCTGATTGACAAAATAAGTGTTTTCATCGTGTTTATTGAAAATAAAAATATATTGTCTCCAGATCATTATCCAAATAAGTATATGGTGAGTTAGTAGGACATATGATATTATATGGTTGTGGTTTAATAATCCAAAATAAATAAGTAAGAATATTGAAAAATAAATATATTAGTCTTCATTGTACAATGATTATAAGTTAGATATTTTTTACAGGGTATTTTAATCGGGTTACTTTTTTCATCTTTTACCATAATATAAAGATTTTTAGGATTAGGTCCGACCTTAATTGTTTGTCCAGCTACAGTATTAAACCAGTGGATGTCAGAACTCCATTCATGGTGGCCTCCGATTCGTGTGGCCATATTGCATTCGACTGGATCCGGTTATGGAAAGCCAGTAAGTGAACTCAATGTAACTTAATATAATTTGTATGTGGTAAAACCTCAAAATAAAAAGTGTATTCAATTTATATACTACCTTATACACTTTTGTATATTTTACACTGCACTCGTTTTTAGCTTAAAGTTTAAAGTACTCAAACCCTAAATATTAAAAGTTATTTTTTATGATTCCAATTTCTTAACCTTACGGTCGTGCTTAAATTCGTAACCGGGAGTCGATTCGAAATAATTAAATCCTGCTAGAGTTGTATTTAAAATCATTAAGTGATAAAAAATGGTTTCAAAAGCCATGGAACGAGAAATATTACTCGTTAACAGATGTGATTATCTAATTACCCCACATAATACGAAGTATTGAAAGGGAAAGTGAAATAAACGAAGAATTGTCCAAAAATGTGTTTATCAAAACTACAGTTATGGAAAAGTAAAGTGGTCTCTGTAGCGTATTCATACTTAAATATAGATAACCGACACTTTAAGAATACGTAGGTATACTGAACGGTTTTACGTGGTTTCAAAACATTCGAATGGATATTTTGAGTGCCATTACATTCTCTGAGATAGGGGTGGTAAAGGATAGCTAAATATAATAGTTTTCAAAGTACATTGGTTAACATAACATTGTGTATGATTATTGTACGTAACATCACAAAAAAATAGAGAAATCAACTTGTAAAGTTACCACTAATTTTATGTCCTAATTTGAGTGAATAACTCTTATGCTTTCTTAACAACCAAGTTGTACAACAATTACTTAATGTGTAAAGCACTTAACTTTTAATCACTTAATAGCAGTTTAAAATCTTGCAACATTCCGATTGTATTACTAATCTTCACACAACAGAGTTGTGGCTCATGGCGGATTGCATGAACTTGTGTTTTCGTATGAATGATTTATCATATTCAAATGACTATTTTAAAGCTATGTTTATCAATCTGGATTTTTGTTATCGTTTATATTTTCATTTTAGAATAAACTTATACAAATGATAACTAATAATCCAGGAAGTGTTCTTCTAACCACGTATTCAACTCTAGTGACTTATCGTGATATGCTAACATCTCGAAATTGGTCGTATGTTATACTGGATGAAGGGCATAAAATAAAAAATCCAGAAGCTGAGGTTACATTAGCTGTTAAACATGTAAGTATATTGTTCTTACATCCTCCAAAAAACAACTGATACAAATCCCATAAATTTTTAGTTTTCCACTCCTCATCGTTTGATTCTTTCTGGTAGTCCAATTCAAAATAATCTACGTGAATTATGGTCACTTTTTGATTTTGTGTGTCCTGGACGATTAGGACCTTTGCCAGAATTTATGCAACAATTTTCTATACCAATTACTCAGGGAGGTTATGCTACCGCTTCACCATTTCAGGTAAGCATCCTATGTTAATTGAGTTTATTGTTCCTGATAACTGGATTATTTGATATAAAATTTCAACAGTTACTGAGATTCATTCGTTTTATTCAAACTAAGTGCGTAATAATCTGTTTTATAATATATTTAGTTTTCCTTTATAGGTCTGAGGTAACCGCACGTCTCACTAAACTTTTTCATCAATGTTCACAATATCCTTTTGAACGCTTTCTTTTAGTGTTATTTCTTGTTTAATCTGTAAAGGTTGAAACAGCTTATCAATGTGCATGTACTTTACGAGATCTTTTAAAACCCTATCTCATTCGAAGACTTAAAGCTGATGTACAAATTCAACTGCCAGCTAAATCAGAACAAGTAAGTTCTAAATATTGCCATATTGGGTATTGACTAGTCACTATCCCAATTTTCTCATTTGTTACACCGATACATACAAGTTCACATTTAATAACCTAAGTTTTGTTCATTCCCGGGAATTAGTTATGATATGAAAATTATGGTCACGGGACTTTCGACTTCTGAAAGGTGTAGATTTTGTGAAGAAAGAATTTAGAATAAGCAGAGATCAATAATGGCTAGCAATGTAATCCAGGACGCGCGTTTCATTCCATTTAGGACTAGTCACCTTTATATACCTGCATCTCAAAGTTGATGGTTACTCCAACCCAGTACCTTCTGCTTCAAACGCCGTCGTGTTATTCACTTAGCTATTGAGTTCAGATAGCCCCTGGCTTTTGCAGTGGAGTGAATATTAATTTTAATCCTTATATATATTGGTTGTTTAGACTTTCCGATTGATGTTCAGGACTGATATCGATCAGACTATTTTCGGTATATGTTCATAATCTTGAAACGAGTTTTTAACTTTTGTTCAGTTATTTACTCGAAGATGAGTTATGATTAGTAGGACTAATCACTCCAATTTCAACCAGCAACCTACTAGTTAATATCAAATCTGTTCCGCTTAACAAGATTCAAACAAACGTTCAGTACAATTAGCTCTAAATCAATTGTCGTAGTTTACATCCTGGTGCATGAAACTTTAACGAGTTGCTGATTTATTTTATTGTTGAATACTACATACCTCATGTATAATTCCGGTTATAAACATTAATACTTATCAGAATTCATAGATCTAGTGTGACTTTTGTATAATTATCACCAAAGATTTAAAGACTAGTTATTTTATATGATCCATTAATACTTGTTAAAAAACTCTTCATCAACAACTGTTTTGATCCAACTAAATTGTCGAAAGTTATTTAACTGATGGTAGGTTATGATGGAAATAATTTTATGGTATTGTTGTTCCATTTGTGTAGCCTCTGTTATCATATGTATGTCCTAAATTCCACTAATGATTGCATACTTAAATCACTTTTAAAATTTCCCACAACCTTTTTCACTCAGTCAATCTTTTTCTTCTGTTCAGGTTTTGTTTTGCCGACTAACTGATTATCAGCGAAAACTCTATCGAGAATACTTAGAGTCTCAAGTATGTCAAGATTTACTAAATGGAAAAGGCAATGTAAGCTACTAACCTTAGTGTTGCTATCAGTAATGATTATATTTTTAAAAAAATAAATTATTAAAAAAGTATATAGATTTATTAATTTCGTTGTGTTGTTTTAGATTTTTTACATATATTCTGTTTTTTGTTGTTGGCTCGGTTTTTCTGGTGTTGGTTTTTAAAGGTTTAGGAACTTGGATATTTACTGTATTTTAGGAGTTTCTGCGTTATTCAAAAGCAGGTTATCGGTACTTATATGCTACTCTCCAAAAATAGGATGTTATCTTTAAAGGAATGCCGATAGGGCGGCTATTTGAAATTAAAATAAATTGGTCGATTACGTTGTAGACTTAGTATATACTGAGATGGATAATGAGTTTGTTAAACATGTTTATCAATCACCAACACTGATGTGTACTATGATGTGAAGTGGAAGTGGATTGGAAAAAAGACTTTAGAGGATTAGATTAAAATATATTTGATGCATTAGGTTACTGATCGATTAGTTTAAAGAAAGAGAAAGCAGTCATTTGGATACTTTTAATTATATGATTGGAAACCCTTAGACGTGTTGGTAGATTCAGACTACTTGGTTGGGGTCCGCGCGACTATCGTAACCAGTGGTTGGAGATTCTGCGTGACATGGCTCAGAATCGATCACAATGGCGTAGGTGTATACATCTTAAACTATGAGATTCAAATTACTTTATAACTTTCTTCCTCTTTTATATGCAATCTTTTATATATACATTACTACAATTGAAGTAATTACTTCTATGGATTTGGTATTCATCTTGTTGTGCTAACAAAGTATGGCAACTTGGACCGATGCATTTATGTGCCTGGTCCTACGTTGTAGATGACTAACTGATTGAAACCCTTAGAAAACAACTTAAATGTAATCGTAGTTGTTCAACTCACTTTCAAAATTCTGACAATTAAACATTATTAACCAGCCTGGTTATTCTTATTCTTAAGAATGTATTTTCGTTCTCGTCATATTTTTTTATACGGTTTTAAGGATTGTAACTATTCAGTCATTGCACAACTTTGGAATGTTCAGTTTTCACACCTGTCTCTATCCGGTTAAGTGTAATCGCCCAGAAATATCACCATCAATATTCAATGGTTCATCGTGCCAAATACCTCAGTAATACCTAGTGTAATGTGATGTAATAAAACGCAGATGATCAACTTGAATGTTTGATATGATAACGACTTGCTAAGGAATATAGGCAGAAAATGCAAGGAACTTCGAATTTGTAAATATTTCCGCGATCGTACCACTGCTTACTTAAGATGAATCTATTTCAGACATAGTAACTTTTCAAATACATTACTATACTAAACGATCAAAAATGATCTTCAGGATACCTTGGCCTTATGTGACATCTTAGCGACCACTCATCAATTCAGGACATATACACAATCTTCAGGGAAGTGGTGCTTCCCGCGCGTTTCACCTTATTTAGGATTCGTCTACTGGACGTACCTGCATTTCAGAGTTGATGTTCACTCCAGAGCTCGAAACCCGTACCGTTCGCTCCAAACGCCTTCGCGTTATCCACTTAGGTACATAATCCTGATAGCCACTAGTTTTTGCAATGGGATGAAGTGTAAATTCATTTTGTATTGTTTGTTTGAATCATCCTATTGCAGTCCTAAACATCAATCGCAAGATTCAAGCAACAAATACAAAAGTGAATTAAAATTATTATTAATTTCTTTAGTTAAAATAACATTTTTATGCTCTTATTTATTCTACTTCACTGTTACCACGTTTAGCAGAATTTCATTATCACTATTATTGTAATTATTATCATTTTGAAAAAAATAGGTATGTATATTTGCTATTGTACTGCTTTGAAAATAAATTTGCCGGAAAGAGAACTTTTCTCTGAACCAATCTTTTTTATATTTAATCTGTAATATACGTTTATTTTTTACTTTTTCATTTTTAGATTTTTCCTTCTTTAATATTATTAAGAAATTTATGCAATCATCCAGATTTAGCTACAGGTGGTCCAAGAGATAGTTGTTTTCTAAATGAAGAGTTTGAGTCTGATAAACAAGGTATTGAAAATGTATGCTTATCTTATTCATGGTCAAGATTTGGTTGCCCACGTAGATCTAGTAAAATGTTAGTTGTTGCTTCACTTCTTAAAAACTGGTATGATCAAGGACATAAAGTTCTACTGTTTTCACAAAGTCGTCGTGTAAGTTGGTTTTTTTTTAAAAGTAAACTTGACTACAGCATACATTTAATATGATATTCATCTGTATTCAACAATAATTATCCAGCTGACTGGTCCCAAATAGAACGAAACGCGGGTCCTGCATTTTATTAATAGCCACTATCAATCTCTGCCTAAAGTAATCAATAAATTTGAAATAAATAGCACGTCATTTGGGATCAAACTTATCCATATTGTTTTTACTGAAGTGTTACTTATCATCTAATGAATATGAGAATAGTCTGGTCTCTTGTATATTAGATTATTCTGTTCAATTTACTTGAATTTGAATAAATTCTTGGCAGATGTAGAATAATAATCGCCTTTGAATCACATTACATTTAGTTCATCTGTCAGTTTTAGCGTTTGACAACCAGCAAATTGAAAATGTTTACTAAATATCAACACAGTTTGTTGATAAAATCATACATAATCCGTTTAATTGATGATTATTGAATGCTATATGTTCATATAAGTTTCTACAAATTCTCTATTCAGTCACCCTAAATATTAAACAATAACATCAACAGTCTCTATTTGGCTTGAAAATTCAATCAACCAAACCAAGTGATTCTGAGTTTCTAACAGGGAATCTTAACGCTTCAAGTCAATTTTTCTTGGTTTTTTCGTGTATTGGCAGATATGATCTGGATTTTTACTAAAAAATGTAACAGTGAATTCATGATTGAAATAGACAGACAATTTTTTATCGATGTCGTTGTCTCATTCAATTTAATAAACAGTTCGTCTGTACCCTTTGTATTGCTAAGTCTCTTTTCGACAAACATAGTAAAAACTGTAAGTTAAATTTATTCAACCTTTTCTCCTATTCTAAATCTTGAAAATCATCTAAATTCCTTCATTCTAGTTAGCCATTGTTTGTCAATCCAATAATACTTGCTTACAAAAGTCCGAATGAATTGTAGGTATAATTTTCTTACACTTTGTATATTTTTCGGAAAGGCTGGGAATGTAGATTTAATTCACATTTGCCCTATACAATACGTTTTCAGGGCATATATAATTGATGATTTGTTTTTGTTTCTATTCATAAGTTTTATTTTTCAGTATGCTTTTTATCAGTCATCTAAAGTACATTTTCCCGTCTATACCTTGTTTTTTGATCAGATGCTTACATTACTTGAACGTTTAGTACAGTTGATGAAGTTTTCTTATCTTAGAATGGATGGAACAACTCCTGTTAGCCAACGTCATGAACTTATTCGACGTTTCAATTATCGTTCAACATCGGATAGTGAGAAAATAGATAGGACAACAGATCAGTTAGACATATTTCTATTTTTATTAACTACACGTGTTGGCGGTTTAGGTGTAAATTTAACTTCAGCTAATCGAGTACTTATCTATGACCCAGATTGGAATCCTACTACTGATCTACAAGCTCGTGAAAGAGCATGGCGTATCGGACAATCAAGAGATGTTGTTATTTATCGTTTATTGACAAGCGGTACTATTGAAGAAAAAATATATCATAGGTAAGTCCTATCACACTTTTATGTTGAAGTATGTAAAATAATATTTTAAGTTTGTCATCGTAAGTTTAACGTTGAATCATCTTTTTTGATTGTGCTTGGATTGGACAGCCCATTGGTTATAGCTTCAGTTCCCTCAATACTACCTCCAACCACTTGGTGCACGAGATTTTGTGTCGCATAGATTAGTGGTCACATTGCAGCTTTAAGATAGAATACACATTAAGAAGGATCTGATATAAGTAACATTGATCACCACCCAGTGATCAATCAATTTTATATACATAGCTCAGTGGTAACATCTGTTACTGTGAAGCTGGGTGATATGGGATTTAATATTCCAGGGAGCACCTTGCTGACGAGTATCAAACGGCATGAAACCTGGGTTCAATGTTTCTTGTCAACTATGTCCAGCTACGACCTTATGGCTATTCCCAGTACTTGTATAGCAGAGGTGTATGTTGTTTTTGGTTTAGTAGACAAAACTACATATTTAAAGCTGGATAGTTATTAGTTTTAAACATTATCAGAAAAGCTTTAAGATCCATATAATTATTTCGATAGCTTTGCAACTTTACGATTATTAAAAGTTAAAACCGATTACTTGTTATATTTAAAAACATATTATGCTTTACAGTATACTCTGTTGTGCTCTTAATATCCAGTAAAATTTTCTGTTGACAGAGATGTCTAAAATTATGTGATAAAGTTACATATTCACTTCAAGCTTGTATCATGATTCATTTTTTGTGTTGATTATTTGAACCTTCCCATTGATGTTTAGGACTGCGATTGGATCAGCCTCTTATTGGCATATGTGCATCCTGTGCGGATTGCCTCGATATTGCCTTCAGTCACAAGCATTATAAGTGGAAAGGGATAGTTGCTAGCAGTGGAATCCGGGACTCTTTAGTTGAATGTACCTGCATCCCAGAGTCGATGTTTACTCCAGGACTCGAAACTTGTACCGTTCACTTCAAACGCCGTCGCGTTATCCACTTAGCTACTTAGTCCTGATAGACACCAGCAGGTACATCCAGCTAACGAGTCGGGAATCGGCCGAAACACGCGTCTTGGATTCCACTGCTAGCCAGCATCCATCTCTGCTTGTCGTATCGTATTTTTCATTTGTCTAACATGACTCTCTAATTTATTGTAATAGCTACATATTGTATGATTTAAATGAATAATCTTGGAAAGTCTACCGCATTAGTCTATGTAATGGCATGTTATTGGTTTGGATCATATGGGTGAGCTTCTTTCCACTTTCTCTTCCTTATAGTTTCTTATCTTATAATTGTTGTTGATCGTTTCTTATTCTGTTGTGTTTAGTGTGAGGACTTGAAATTGTTGAAATTTCCATGCATCAGGTTCTGTCTACACTAATATATACGTTTTAGGTTTTGTGTTTATTGGAAAATATTCATTGTCATGCTAATCGATATTTTTTGTCATAGTTTTTTTCCACAAAAATGGCTACGTTTTTACTACATTAAATGAATCGTTCATCATAGTCTGTCATTTATACACCCTTAACTCGTAATCTGAGTCTGTTTGGGTATTTCATCTAGTTTTTTTTGTGTTTTGTTTTGACTAATTAATTAATAAATTTACAAATTATTTTTAATGTTGTTGGTTTTTTCCGTTAATTTTATTGATTTAAATAGACAAATATTCAAACAATTTCTTACTAATCGAATTCTAAAAAATCCACGTCAGCAGCGATTTTTTAAAACAAACGACCTTCAAGAATTATTAACTTTTGAAGATGAATCAGATATTCAAATCCCAGAAACAGCTTTGTACTTGAAATCGGAAGGTATGGGTCATACACTGACTAATTCATTAACCGAGAATCGATTTGATATACTTGCTAAAAAACTGAAAGATAATCCATTGCAAAGCAAATCATCACGCGTGAATACAGAGATTAGTAGTGGTAGTGATGTTGATGATGATGAGAAGGAGGAGGATGAAGATGAAAAAGAATCGAAGGTTTCTGTGGATGACAATTTTATAAACACTTTGTTATATCCTGATGCAAAAAATAAGCGTACAGAACAACTTCGTCAACTTGCTAAAGAAATAAGCCGTCGTATAGCGGAGGAATGTTCAAACAAAGATAATTCAGTTGAATCGGTTACTAAGCAGTCTAAAGAAATGACTTCAAACAAATATAGTTTAAATCGCAAACGTAAATCTGATAACAGAGGGACACGGGTGGATGGAAAACGAATCAAGCTAGTAGCAAAACAGTGCAGGTATGATGTTGGTGAAAGCATGGATATCTCTTTATCTCGAAATCAACTTGCTGAACCAACCAAAGCGACAAGCAGTAATGCTGAAGATGATAACTTTATTCAAAATGTCTTAGCCAGTTCTTGTTTCAGTAGCAATTACTTATCCAGTAATAAGCAAGACTACTCTACGGTTTCTTCCTTTAAGGAGAAGCGATCAATGGTAGATCAAGATACGCGTGATGAAGCAAGTCGAGTTGCAAAAGAAGCTCTAAAGAATATTCAGAAATTTCACAAATCCAATGAAATGAAATGTAAAGAGTCATTTCGAAAAAATAAAGGTAGGTGTTCTTTTCTTATCTGCGAATCAATGTTAGAAATTTGGAAAGTTGACATACAATATATGCTCTGAGATGTTGATTACTAGCACTTCACGTTTCCTTGAGTTTTTTCAACAATAATCTGTAAAATGAAGTGCCTTAGTTTATAGGCCACATTTTGTCTAGACACAATGGTTATTAGACTTCAGTCATGTCATGCGCTTTCTGGATTCATCATTCTAATCCCACTAATAAGACAGGTAACTAGACCTTGTTCATGAAAATATTAGTACAAAAGAAAGTTTCATCAAAACTAAAATTGAATGGTTATTCTACCAATATCTATAAAACTATTGTAGTCCTTAAATATTAGCAAATGATTCCCTGTCAAATAAAATAACTAACATTGTTATAGGAAATATTGTATGTTAGTATCAATAGTAAGAATTTCACCGTTGAGACGTTTTTCGTATAATTGAACACAGTATCAAAATAATATAATACAGTGTCTATGATTTATTTAAGCTTTCTGAATTTTCTTGTTTGTTATTCCACTTTATGTTGTGTAAATCTATCTGTAAAAAGTAGTATTCACATTATTCTCAGTTACAATAACCTACTCGTTTCGTTATTTTTTTACTATCACGACTTAATTGTCTTTCTGTAATGCAATAAAAAACGGAATATATCGGAACTGTATGATGTATTAGCGCTCTGAGACCGTTTCTCTAGCATACTAATTTTATATGGCTTTTTTATTCTTCTGAAAATGAAAGTCGCTAGCCGTAAAATACCAATATTTGGCCTTTCGAATTCTCTGAGAGGGTTCTTTAATGCTTCAGGCTACTGAAACGCTGCCAAAAACAGTATAGTTAGCAGCACATTTTCTGTCCGTTACCAAGTTGAAAGCCACTTCACTGGAGCTTACTAATCTCTTACTGCTAATTATCAGGAGGAAGGATGGGTATTTTAAGCGGAGTTGGAAAGGATGTAGTGGTATAATCCAAGTCGCGCATTTCGTCACCTGGATGGACCTGGACCCCAGAATTAATGTTCACACCGGAACAACCCAAAAAGTTAAGACCTGTTTCAACTATGTGTTTAGCGATAGTGGAAGATGAGTGATTTTATCATCTGCTCTTATTGAACCATTCGATTTTATTTTTGCCTGTGGCCGTTTTGGTACATGTTGAGACACGCCTTAACTTGGAAATCACGACTCCTCCTCACATGTGTGGCCACACATTGACGGTGTTGCAGTTACACTAAACCTACACTGATAATATTAATTTATTATCCAGAATGGCGATTCACATGGTTTTCACATTATCTTTGTTTTTTCTTAGCCTTCAAGTTGACTTCCATTTTTCATATGTATATTAATGTCTTAACAACGAAACATGAAATCAAATTATTTGCAATGTATATTGCACTAATATATTACATTTTGTCTTTTCATTGGATTATGTAAATTTATCGAAGGGACGAATTGCTATTGTTCTGTTTTAACAAATTAGGTTGTATGTTAATTGATACAAGAAAAAAGGCAAGTTAAAACTGAGCAATAATTTTACATAAAATGAATAAATAAAAATTGGGGGTAAAAATATAGGAAAAATAAAAAGTGAAAAGTGGTAAATAACTAAAGAAATAAAGGTCAGGTATCAAGACTAAGACTTTGGACAAAAGGTATGGATTAGTACGATATTTGCAATACTATAAATGTCAATAGACCCGGGATCAGTCAGTCAGTAACAACGTAGAACTTCGTACGTACGTACATCAGTTCGAGTTGTCACACCACATTAGCACAGAGATGCAGTGGTCGATCCAAATCCCGTAGTGGTAGAGGTAATAAGAGTATAAGCAGTAATCGAGAAGATTAGTGTTTGGAGATGTTATTTAAAGAGTATAATACAGTGAAATAAATTTGAGAAGAGAAAAAAGAGACAAGGAGGAATAAGGAGATCAAAATTTGGGAGAACACAAAGAGTAGATGCACCTGCAACATTGCAAACGATTTTGAGCCATGTCATTCAGGATCTCTAACCATCGGTTGCTATAATCTCGCCGTCCCCAACCAGGTAGTCTACATCTACCAATATGACTCAGTCTACTTGTCAGTGACTTCATGGACTTGTGCCATGTTTTGGTCTCGCTGCACCTAGCTTTCTTCCAACCTACTCCTATACAACAAAACATCGCACATCGAGGCAGTCGGTCTTTGGGCATACGTAACACGTGTCCCAGCCATCTCAACTGATGAAGTTTCACTACGTCATCAATTGATTTGCCATCCTTACCTAGTACCCGTTTCCTAACAACTGCATTACTTACTCGATGGTCCCATGATATACGAGCAATGTTTCGAAGACACCTATGATCAAATACTAGTAACCTACGGATATCCTCTACTCTTACCGGCCATGTTTCACTGCCATAAAGTAGGACGGAACGAACTGCTGCGCAGTAAACCCGTCCTTTGATTGATAGACGGATATCTCGCCTACGCCATAAATGACGCAAGTTGGCAAAAGCTAGTCGAGCCTTCTGTATCCGTGCTGAGATTTCGTCACACACCGGACCACAAGGGCTGATGAGACTTCCAAGATAAGTGAAGCGATCGACACGCTCAGTTACTTCACTCCCTATCATTAGTTCGGGTGTCAATGCAACCCAATTCTGAAGCAACATTTTACATTTTGAGGGGGAGAATCGCATCCCGAACATGCTTGCATTGTTGCTTAGAGTGGTCAGAAGACTCTGCATTTTGTCAGCGTCTTCACCAAATAAAACTATGTCATCTGCATATTCTAAGTCAACAAGTGAACCTCCTGGTACAAGTAGTGTGAATATCTGATCTATACAACCAAGTCCAGGTCGAAAACCAGCCTGGTTTTCTCTAGTCTGCTCTTCACGAGCTTTGGTTAGGCGTCGAAGTATTATTGAAGCTAATATTTTAGATACTATATTTGTCAAACTGATTCCTCTGTGATTGTCACAAGAGGAATTTTGTCCTTTCTTATAGACTGGCACAATCAGTGATTGAGACCAGTCAGATGGGATTACGTCCAGTTCCCAAATTCTACCTAAGACCTCGGTTAATCTCATTGCTAATACTGGACCACCATCCTTAAAAATCTCAGGAGTAAATCTGTCAGGGCCTGCTGCTCTCGCTCGCTTCATATTTCCTATGGCTTTTTCAGTTTCGTAAAGAGTCGGCGGACCTACACTAACTTGCCATTCAGGTTGACTGGAGATCGTGGGAAACCGAAGTGTGGCTGAAGGCCGGTTGAACTGATCCATAAAGTGTTCTGCCCATCGATTTAATCTCCTGGATTGAGAATGTATAATATGTCCATCTTCCTCTGGGAGTGTTTCGCTAACAGTCGGTTTCCTTATACCGGTTTCCTTAACATGTCTGAACAATTGTCTGCTATTACCTATTGCCGCTGCCTTTTCCATCTCTCTTGCTTTCGCTAGCCACCACTGTTCACGATCATTGCGTAGACTTCTTGTCAGCTTGCGCATGGGCTGACTCAGCTCTTCGTTATGTTCAGAGCCATATGAAATGGGTTTTTGAACATCTATCAGTGCAGTAGATGCTGCTGAGATCCAGTGTTGTTCCCTAACCTTCTGGTTTACCTTACTAGCAGATATCACTGCTGTTTCCACAGCTTTTCGGATATCATTCCATTCTGCCTCGAGGTGGGCATCACATACATGGCTGCCTAACTGTTTTCCTAGTTGTTCCTGAAATATACTCTTAGCTTGACTATCATTAAGTAGGGCCCGAAGAGGTTTCCTTGCAGCGTCTTTCCTACGCCCAGTAAGACGCAGACAAATACGTGCTTGCACTGGAGCATGATCTGAATCTAAGCATGTGCTCCAGAATGAGCGACAGTCTTCTATCGAGCCCCTCCATCGGTGGCTGATAGCGATGTGATCTATTTCGGTCCAACGTTGGGACAAATTAGGGGGTCTCCATGTTAAAAGATGTTTTTCCTTATGCTTAAAGTTAGTATTTGCAAGGAACAGGCGGTTATCTGAACATTGCTGCAACAGACGGTCGCCATTATCTGTTCTTTGAGCCACGATGCTATAAGATCCACCCAGGTGTCTTTCCCTATCGCTTAGTTTACCTACTTGAGCATTAAAGTCACCGGCCATTATTACTACATCCGAGCGCCTAGCTTTTCGGAGAAGGTCGGAGAGCTTTCTGTAAACCTCATCTTTTACATCATCTGAGCTGCAGTAAGTGGGAAAATAGGCAGCGACGACGAAGAGGCAACGACGAGTGTCCCTATCTTTTCGGGTCCTTATTGTTCCGTTTAGTCGGAAAGCGCACAAATGACTGTCTACTGGGATCCAGTCTAAGAGAGCTAGTTCTGCCCTAGGACTCAATGCTATACGTACGCCGGCGAGGCCACGGGAAGCAGAATCAAGGTTTACAGATACACGAAGTGTGAATCGTGTCGGTTCTTTATTTTGGCATGGTGAGGTCAAATGAATGACGTTACTCGGACCCTGTATGCGCGTTTCGGAAACGCAGCACACATCGATGGCGCGGAATTCTAAAGTCCTAGCTAAGGAAGCCTGTTGTCCTATTTGGCACAGTGTTCGGACGTTAAAAGCTCCTACGTGGAGTTTAGCGCGTGGTGTCAGGAGACCACGAATAGCGTTGCGCATACTCGAATCGTTTGCCCTAGCGGTGCGAGGTGAAAAGACGTGAGAAGGGTTAGTCGGGGAGATAAGAGTGGTATAAGGAGGTGTAGGAAGGATTTGAATGTGACCAACTTGGTCTCGTGTGCTGTTACGGGTATGAGGGCTGGTGTCACCTCCCGGCTGCCCACACCGTGGAAGGAGACCCTGGATCTCTCATCAGTGATTTCATTTGCCTCAAAAGCAAATATTAGGAAGGAAGCAATCAACAATAAGAGAGTTCATAAACTAGTGTTAATTTTGATTTCTCATCGTACATTTTCTTCCAGTATAGTATAGGAGAATGACAGAGACTATGTTACAGTCACCTTCATTGATATGTTTACAAAACCATCAACTTATTTACCTCTTTGTGGTAAAATAGACTTATGCGAACTTGCACCAGACTGTGTAATGTCCTTGGCTGACCGGTTTACCTCAATACGTTCTAACTTGTTTACTGTACTATAAAAGCCTTTACTATCTGTCTCATGATATTCCTTTTATACCCACTAGATGATGTCGAAAAGGCAAAAATTGGAAAATCTTCAAAAATTAAATGTACAAATCATCAAGATTTCCACTCACTTTCTTCCCATAAATCATTAAAATTCACACAAAAAATATCCGCAAGCAGTTCACCGATATTTCGTCAAATAACTCAAATAGTACATCATGATAAATTATTGGATGAAATGACTAATCCAAATCACATTGATTCTTCATTTGACCAATTGGCCGTGAATCGATTAGCGAATAAAGCTATTATTGCTTTAGAAGAAGAAGTCAAGCGTTGGCAGCAAAGTAATATCAGATCTTTTTCTCAAACTACAGAAATAACTCAACGTAGATTAGTATTTTATCCTTTTGGTCAAGCTAAAAATCGTTTCCTTTGGAATCGAAATGAATCAACTAGTTATGGTTATGTAAGTTCACAGTAATGAATATTTGATACATTTAATTATTCTTGTTTCTTATAATTAAAAACTAAGAATTCAGATTGGCGCTTTAATCTAGGTTATTTAAACTTCTCTCTTTATTTATTATTTCATAACTTGTGGCTAATAATTAGTGTAGAATTAAAAAAAATTGTTTTTTTTTTCAATTTAGGTCATAGTAATAGATAAATTGTCAATTTTATTAACTCATGTTTTCATTCCACTAAACAAACTAAACACTTCGATAATGATAGAAAATTCTGATACATTGAGTAGATATATATAGTTATGGAATAAAAATATACTATTATGTAATTGACTGTAATTTTATTAAAATACGTTGCGAAATTTTACTAAGGGAATAAATGTTTTTCAGTTGGTTTAGTTGAGTAAACATCCAATTGAAAATTTTTAAATCATTTCAATTTGATATGACTATTCGTATATGTGAAATTTTACAGTGATGTATAAATTCATCGACTGTTTACAGATTTCTTAATCAATCGAAACATGTTTAGAAAGTAATATTTACCATGCTTCAATTGTACATTGTTCAGTCTCAATGTATCGTTAATATTCCAATTCTATCTCAACTGAACGTCAAATTACACTGTTTAAACGAAGACAATAATAGTGGAAAGCTTATATATATTTGGAAGATTTTTCCTAGTTTTATTTTGAATTATGCCTAATAAATGACGTGTATTAGGCTACCAGATCCAGATCGTATCGAAAAGTTTAAAATAACAAAGTAATGATTTAAAATTAAACTAAATTTTAATAATTGTAGAGTGATTTTTTTTTAAAAAAAAAACACAAACAATATACCCCAAAAGTGACTTTTTAAGATAAATATGTTGTAGTAAATTCACAATAATACGTTAGTATTGCCCAGTTGAAGTGGTTCAATTCCATAGAAACACAAATTTAAGGAAGCAGATTTAAGTTGGAAGTTTGCAGTAATCCATAGATCATTCAACCGTGAAATCTGAAGTGAATATTCGATTATTTACATTTGTATAGATTTTGATATATACGATTTTCAAGAAAATTTATTTATTTTAATTTTTAGATTCAACTTTTACAAGCATCAAGTGATTTTGAATGTTCAACTAAAAAAGCTTATAATGAAGATTCAGCTAATTTACATGTTAGATTTAGTTCAGAATTACTTTTAAGTCTTATACGTTCGCGTAAAATCATTCGTCATAATCATTTACACAGTTCATTTAGTACCGAATCAGTTGATTCTGTGTTAAATCATTCAATGCAGCGTCTTTGTGCTGAACTTATTCGAACACTTGGCAGTTCGAATACTGTTACAAGTGAATATTTAGCAATACATTTTAAATCTATTCTGAATGAGAACAATGATTGTGCTACAGTAAATATTCGAAATAACGCTACTGTTGTAAATAGAAGTATTACATCCCGACATTTTCGCTCTTTGCTTAAACAACTTGCAATAAGACATCGGTCAAAATGTGATCAATCTCAACTGGATTTACCTTCACGTGGTCGCTTGGATGATGTATGGACTTTGCGTGATAAATTTCAGTCTATTGCTAGTTATCTCTTAGTAAACTTGGCAGTGGCAGAAAGGTTGGATCAATGAAGCAACATTGTAATATATTGACACGATATGTTCATTGCTACCTCATACATTTGTATAGTTTATTTTAATACAGAATCTAATATGCACACTCCTAACTTTTATTTTTTAAATATAGAATTACTAAGAACGTGGTTTTCTTTCACTAATGTGTGAATATCAATTACTAGTTATCTCAAAAAATTTAGATGAACTTTTATTTTTAAAACCAGAAAATTGGTGCTAGAAATACAATGCCTTTTTAGTGCCTTTCCCAGAAAATATCGGTAAACCAAACCGTTATGTCCGAACAAAGAATAAATGAGTTGTAACTTCCAGGAGTTATTTATAACTTGTTGTATATATATTCTTATCGTACAATTGCTAAGTAACTAAATCGTATAAGTTTACATTCCTTTTATCACAAATTTTCATTTGATCCATTGGATACTGTTGTACGATTTACTTTCCCTAATTTATTCCTAATCTATTAGTTTGCAACCTGCTATACTCAGCTACTTCTGGCTTGATCTTTCACAATAATTATTTTTCATTTTACAGTGTGATGCGATCTCGTATGCTTGTACATAAACAGCGTATATCTGAAATATACGATTTATATTGCGGAGGATTATATTTATGTTCTGGGCTGGGCGAGGAGCTGCTATACAGAGTATTAATAGTCTGAGAGTTGAATCAAGGCCACTGGTGTTGCTTGACGCACCACTGGTTTAGCACAGGGACTAGGTCATAGAAGTCGGTATCCCGATTAGGGATTTTGTCACGTGATATTTGACGGGTCAGAGGACATAATAGAAGTCAATGATGTAACGTAGTGACTAGATGGAGGCCAAAAAGGATATGACATTAGTGCATGAAGTCACTGATTGTTGGACTGAGATATGTAGGTAGGTACAAACTGTCTGGTTGGGGTCTATGTGTTTATCGTAACCACTTGTTAATGTCTTTGAGTGACATGGCTCGAAATCGTTTGTAATAGCGCAGATGCATTCACTATTTGTCTTCTCTTATATCGTAAGTTCCTAAATTTCTAATAGTTCTTTTTTGTCTCATAAGTATATATGTTCTAAAATCGTATCTTCGATCTCTAATCTTTTTTATTGCCACTGATTCATTTGTTACTTGTACTACGGGATTCGCCCTGACCTTGGTCTCTATATTTTCACTTTTATAACCATCCAGAGGTTATATTTTAAATTGATCGTAAATGAAGTATATTTCAGGTTTAATCATTCTGAACTTCTCTCCCGAAGCTGAGGTGTAGTGCTTGTATGGACTAATGACTCCTTTGTACTTGATAACTACCTGATTTCGAATTCCAAATACAATGCGTTCGTTTGTGCTCACCTAGTTCTTCTTGGTCTAAATTGCGTTATTCCTGGGATTCCTAGTTCGTATATTAATTCAGATACTTCTAATTATCATATGAAGCTTAGTGTTTTATGGATGGAGTAGGTAAGTTTTAGTTGTGCCTGTTAATCGAACAAGAACCTAGATATTGTGAATGTAATTAGTTGCATCTAAGCTACCTCCAAAATAAAAAGTGTGACTGTATATTAAACCACACGGAACTTTGTAATGGTTGTCTAATGTCAAGAAGGGTTTCTAATTATTTTCAGATTACACGGGCGTACAATTGAAATATCGCCCTTAAAGAAAGTCTCCAACGAAACAGTGAATACATTTGGGATTGCTCATATGCCTTGTTAATAAATGTCAACATGCATAAGAACTAGCATCGCATTTTTATTTCCAATTCAGCAGGTCGTGTTAGATCGACTGTTTTACAATATCTCGGTGTGGTCACTTATTGGGAATAAACTAAATATCTGGTCATTACTGCAGATCACTGGCTACCCAGGGGTAGATTTGTGCAATGGCGTGTCGAAGAAATTTAGGGGGAATGTTTAAAAACAAACTAGATATTTTACAATGGGTTTATTAAACATTTAACCAAACATCCGAATTCAACTCTAATTTTCTCGAAGCACTTGATATTCAAAATGCCGGTCTTATTGTCTGTATTACTTTTTTTGGGATTTTGTGGCAAAGTTAACATCGTTGTACACAATCCGAGTGAAATTACGTTGATATTTTAATAATATTCAGACGGACTGTAAAGTTTTCATGTACGCTTCAGCTTGTTCTAACCATCTTGAATAATCTTCAAGCTGTTGACTTATCATGCTTTGCGGGAGGTTTCTTGGTGAATAAAGAGACTTCCCATGGTATAGTTTTGTTCTAACTGTATTCCAGTCACTAGATATCCTGTTCCAATTTGTGACAGTATATCTTGATTTGGACATGTCGACTATTGACAAGTGTTTCACTAGGTTTTGTGATATAGAATTACTGATGGGAACCAAGTTTTCAACATGGTTCGTTTTAAATACTAAAGAGTTTGTACTTATGGCATTTGTTTTTGTCTCTGTACAGGTGTGTTTTTCACTCAATAGATAATCATCGCTAGAATGTGGTCGTTTATTTTTTGTATTAACCGACAAATTAGAATTGTATGAAGGATATTCATTAAATGTAACTTTATTGTATAGACTAGTATTCACGTAATCCTGTTGATTAATTTCACGCGGTTCTAAAAATATAAGTAGATTATTATTTCCCATTAACGCTCTATCCCTGCAAAAAGTGATCTTATATCTGCTATCAATATCATATAGGCGTTTTTCGATTTCATTACACCAGTTAACTAATTCGTTTTGCATTGAACATAATTTGTAACTTGCTCCTAGTACTTCCTCATGATTTTGTTCCATTTTCTTTAATAATTTTGTCATACACTCTGATCCTGTTTTGGTTTGAAGATGCTTATGGACTGAACTATCGCTGTCACAATTGCCGGTATTTTTATTATTCATTGATTCTTCCGATCGTCCGTATACCGAGTAACCTGTTGACGTATTCTGTTTGATCTTTATTTTACAGCAGTTGTTTGAGTTTGTTTCATTTTGCAATGTTTCAGAAAATCCATACGATTTAGTCACATTTCGTGTTTTGGATCTTATACTGTTAGTTAAGTCATCAGAATTACTTAATAATGAAAAATTCAGGAGGTTTTCATCAACTTGCCTAACCAGCGCCAATTCTGTATTCTCTTTGATTCGTATTGCTTGCAGTTCACATGCTGATTCATACTGGACACCTGTGCTTTTCCTAAATTGATCATCGTTATTTTCAGAAGGCTTGGGTTTGGAAACTAAAGGCTCATTTCCTGTCCCACTTAAGTTTTTGAAGACTGGGTTTTCATTCGAAAGCTTTAAATTGTGATTATGAGTAGTATTACTCCACGAAGTACCATTATCCTGTGTCCGGTTACTGATTGGCTTATTATATGTTTCTATGTGGAGTAGCTTGAGGCCATGACAAGTACCACATGACTTTTTATGTTGAGGTTTTTTTAAGTACTTTTGCTTTCTATCAGTTACGTTCGTGCAGCTTTTATTTTTTCTGCATTCTAATACCATATTCTTATAATAAACATCACAAGGATGGTCCCACGTAGACTGACCTGTGAAAAAATTGAAGTAGTATATATCCCCATTGGTATTCATACAAGGTTTCCAACCAACCGGAAGCGGGGCTTTGATCCCTTCATATACTAAAGGATATAATTCTGGTTCTCGTTTCAGATTAATTCCCAACCATTTAGCATAGCTTACGATTTCTGATTTAGTGAATCTGCAGCGTTGATACTTTTCTTCTAATATAATTTGTCCATTAGTACAAACTGTCATGAAATTGGATATCTTGTTTGTTTGTAGCTTAATTTAATTTCTAGAACGAAATAAGAAAATTTATCAAAAATGAGGTATGTATATCGTACGTTTTGAATAAACATATAAAATAAGTGCAATCTAGAATCATTGTACTGATACATTTCATTTGTTCAGTATTGTTCATCTGTGCGCGATGTTTTGTAACCTTAGTTTCCGAATATGCATATTTACGTATGTTGATGTTAGTAAGCTAACTGGTTTCTGACAAGTACCAAGCTAAAAATATTAGTGACATAATTGACTTCTTGGGTATTGATCTCCTTCCAGGAGGTCCACTTATCGATTTAGAATACGCAGATGACATAGTCCTGTTTGGTGAAGACGCTGATAAAATGCAGTGTTTTGGTAGCACTAAGCAACAATGCCAGAATGATTGAAATACGCTTCTCTACCTCTAAATGCAAGTTGTTGCTTCAGGACTGGTCTGTATCAACACCTGAACTAAGGATAGGGAGTGAAGTAGTCGAACGCGTAGACAACCTTACTTATTTGGAAGTTTGATAGGCCTAATTGGTTGGTGTCTGACGAAATCTCAGCACGGATTCGAAAAGCTCGTTTGGCTTTTGCCAACTTACGTCACCTATGGCAAAGGCGAGATATCCGTCTATCAATAAAAGGACGAGTATACTGCGCGGCAGTCCGTTCTGTTCTACTTGACGGCTGAGAAACGTGGCCATTAAGAGTAGAAGACACTCGTGAGCTACTAGTATTTGACCACAGATGCCTTGGAAATATTGCTCGCAACTCCTGGGATCACCGGGTCAGTAATAGGGGTTAGACACAGGGTATTAGGATATGATGGTAAATCAGTCGATGAGGTTGTGAATCTTCATCGACTGAGATGGTTGGGCCACGTGTTACGTATACCCAAACACCGATTACCACGACGTGCAATGCTAACCGGTGTTCGGGATGGTTGGAAGGAAGTTAGGGGCGGCCAAACCAAAACGTGGCATCAGTGCTTGAAGTAACTAGCTTCTAGTTTGAGCCATGTTTTTAGATGCAGACTACTTGGTTGGGGTCCGCGTGACTATCGTAACCAATGGTTGGAGACTACGGTGACATGGCTCAGAATCGGTCACAATATCGTAGGTGTATACACTCTCTATCTTCTCTTAAACTAAGAGATTAAAATCGCTTCATATCTTTCTTTCTACGAACTAATTCTTTATTACGGTACTATATCCTTATATGCAATCTTTCTTTTATATATTACCACCACTGAATCAACCACTTCTATGAATCCGGTGTCCATCTTGTTGTGCTAATGATGTATGGCAACTTGGACCGATGCATATATGTGCCTGGTTCTACGTAGCTGACTGACTGACTTTAAGGTTATATTACTTCAGTGTTATGTAAAACAGCTTTCTCTGCACTTATTTTGCAGGGTTCGAGAAGCAGTAGAGGATACACTAACTCCAGAGTACCTTACGGAGTAGTTGTTCAGTTTTAGCAGTTATATTGTCCCATATACCGACTAGAGTTGAGGATCTGATCATATCCTAATCTAATTGGTCTCGGTTGCTAATTATAGCATTTTATTAAAAAGGACTAATATTCTCTTATGATAATCGCAGAGGGGCTGGTTTAACTAAAATAATGTCTAAGATATTAGACTCCATAAGTAATCGATGCGGTGTTTAGTTAAGGATCGTAGATGTCGATCACAGAAAGACAACGTTGGTTTCAGTTCTGAAACTAGACATATTGACCAAATACATATCTTCCATCAGATTCTGGAATGTAAGTGTATTCAGCGTCTCTCGACGGCAGTTGTTTTTTGACTTGACGTAAACGTTTGCTTCCTGTACAGCGATGGTCTATGGCAGTGTTTGGCATTAATAGATGTACCAGAAAAGTACAACGTGGAACCATGTTATTACTAAATAATGCCAGTTCTATTAACAGATTTATAACGTAATCGAATTCGAAGAATTCACGTGTCTGTGGATACATAACGAAAAAATAGTTTTACTGCTTTCGCCTACTTTTAATCAGGTACTGAGTGATCGACTGATGATACAAAGTAGTGTAAAGTGAATAATCAAAATAATGCATATACAAAACAATTATCAACCTCTCTTTAAACATTTGTTAATAAGTGAAAAGAGACCAAAGTAGAACGTGAATTCAAATGGTTGTAGAAATCTGAACTGGTCTTTATTGCCTAGATTACCATAGGGAGTGAAGCATTTTGTTGCTTCGACCACTTTACTTATATTAGATACGCGGATTTAGAAGAGTCAGTTAGCGCATACCGGATTTCAACACTTTCGGTGTTGGCGATATAATTATTTACCAACGAATGAGCGTATACGTCCCGCAATAGTCCACTTCATATTCATCCATCGAAGTATGACATTGTCTTTGAAAGTAGGAAAATGCGCATGGTTTGCTTTTCTGACTTTGAGGTCTTAGTCATATTTTGTGTAACGGTTGAGTGAACAAAGCTGTAGTTAGTCATGGGCCACCAGATAAATATAGCAAGTTAGTGGGTATTCAGCAATCAAGGTGCTTTGAAATTGTGTTATCTATGTTCAACCGCTGCCTCCCTTGACGATCAATGTAGGCCGGAGTAATAAGTCGCAAAAAACTGTGGGCTTCTCGACAAGAAAATGATAACGCTCTATGAAACCACCAACAATGTCAGTAAATTCAGACTAACGTGGTCAGTAGTTAAAGACACTGAGTAGATTGGACAATAGACCCAGAGTCCTCAATTGAAACGGCCTGCGACGCATTTCAAAATTCATACTTAAAAGTTACCACACAACACATCCCTTGGACTATACCAAAGGGGCCAAAAAACTGACCACCATGGCTCAGTAGGGAGGTCCGCATCCTTCTCCATAAGAGAAGAAAAATGTGGGATAGATTTAGGTTACTGGGGACTGATGAGACAAAATCTCAGTATTGAAAAGCTCGGAATACCTGTGCCTCGACCCTTCGTAAGTCTAGAAATTTGTACGAGGAAAAAATTGTTAAGGAATCCATAGAATGTCCTAAACGCTTGTATCCCTATATAAACCAAAGGACAAGGAGAAAAGGAAATATTCCTGCACTATGGGGATACAGCGCTGTCGCATCATTAGTGGAGGACGACTTTGGTAAGGCTCAAGTGTTCTCAAACTAATTCAGCAATGTATATACCATAGAAACACCCTTCCCGTCAGTCCATATAAATCCCTCCACACAAACACTGGATAGCGTGGCCATTAAGGAACTCGATGTCTTTGGTCTGCTAAATAAGCTGGACCTATGTAAATCCACGGGGCCCGATGAATTGCATCCTAGGCTACTGAAGGAATTATCTAACTTCGTTGCGAAACATTTAAGTATATGCTTTAACCTATCCGTAACGCAAGGTCGTTTACCAAAAGACTAAAAAACGCCATAGTATGTCCTGTCTTCAAAACAGGTACGAAACACAAACCTGAGAATTACCGCCCCGTTAGCCTAACTAGTGTGGTTGTTAAAATCTTAGAAAAGATTATTCGGAAGGAGCTGTTTAAGTATCTCGAGGAAAAACGGGTCCTCTCGGAGAAGCAGCACGGTTTCAGAATAGGTTACTCTTGTCTCACTAACTTATCAGTGGCTCGTGAAAGCTGTTGCGCTCTTAAGGGCCGAAAGCTACCTGTAGACGTCGCCCTCATTGATTTCAGTAAAGCTTTTGACAAAGTTCCGCACAACCGGCTGTTAAGAATGTCGGGATTGGAGGCAATCTATTGATGTGGATAAAAGACCTCTTAGTTGGGCGTCAACAAAGAGTTCGGGTGAACTCAAAGTTATCTAGCTGGGAAACTGTGCTTAGTGGAGTGCCCCAGGGTACAGTTTTGGTGCCAGTGCTATTCCTCTTGTATGTAAATGACCGTCCTCGTCTCCCATCATCATCGGTCTTGGTATATGCTGACGATGTCAAGATATGGAGAACGATACGATGTAAGGGTGATAGCTTAGAACGCCAAAATGACCTGAAGAAGTTATCTGAACGGTCTCAAACATGGCAGTTGCCGATAAATACTTCCAAGTGTGTTGTGATGCATATCGGTCATCAAAGTGCAGATACATACACGATGAATAACACTGAGCTACCTGTCGTCCAGACATATAGTGACTTAGGAGTTATCGTTAGTCAAGACTTAAAGACTACTGCACACTGCCGTGCAATAGCCGCCAAAGGTTTGAGAACCTTATGGTCAATACGTAGGGCTTTTAGTCGTGTCGACGCTAAAATAAATAATTCTTTAGCCTAAAGTAAAAACAATTCCTAATATAAGGAATCAAATTCTATTCATTCATAGTGATGATTCCCTCTGTGCACAAACACATGTACACTTATGTAGGTACGTAATTCTCGAATACCACAATGTGAGGGGATATGTTTACCAAAATTTAAAAGCAGATGTTGAAGTATTTATTCACAATTACTGAAATCATAGTCTCACAAAATATGTAACGATTAAACCTCGGTATGTCTCTATCTTGTTTGGAGATATTTTGTGCGCTAAGAGAGTGTTAGAATAGCATGCAAGATTATATATAAGAGAAAAGAAAAAACATTTTTTTCTCTCCCAGATAATCTTTAAAGATTATCTGGGATAATTATCCCTTAAAAGCGCAAACATATTAACGGCTAATAAAATGCATATAATGCACTGACAGATGGTAAAAAGAAAACTAAAAATGACCAGAAATAGTATGAGAATGGGGTAAGACAATCTGTTGTTCGGAACAATTTGGTCCTGTAGATTTGAGTAATAAAATGTTATGTTTGTATGTAGCGGCGTTTTTTTACCATTGGATGTTGTACGGCGTTCAATACTTCTGTGATAAGCTGTTATGAAAATGCTGCATATTTATATGCGGTTTGATTACATTCGATTGGAGTTGTCTAGTCAATTGAATCAGTCAATGCTATACGTTTTGAAAAAATCAGTAGCCTTCCAAATAAACCTTGAAATTTCCTCTTTTCAGTTTCAGTTTGGGAAGGACAGGAGGCTCGATGGCTTGTGTCAGTACTGGCAATAGTGGTCTTTCAGTTGATCCAACTTTCTTTTGAAAGAGTCGACGGATGGAGCCTCAACGACGTGCTGAGGTAGTGAATTCCACTCGTTGATGATGCGATGGGAAAGTCGATAGTCAGCTGACAAGTAACTTGTTCTGGGTTTGTGAACTTTTTTGGAGTGTCCTCGTAAATTCTCTGTTTTGGAAGACAAGAAAAATGACGGAATATCAGGTGCGAATTTATCACTAAGGAATTTGAAAAGTGTAGTCAAGTCGCCTCCAGTTCTACGATGTGACAACGGGAATAGGTTCAGCTTGGTCAGTCGAGCATCATACGGAAGCTTCGCCATTCCGGGAATCAGCTTAGCTGCTTTTCTCTGAACATTTTCCAGAAGCTCACTGTCCTTCTTTAAGCAGGGGCTAGCCGCTTGTACGCAGTACTGAAGTTAAGGACGTACGAACACTGTATACAAAGTCAAAAACATTTTAGCGTCGACACGACTAAAAGCCCTACGTATTGTCCATAAGGTCCTAAAAGCTTTGGCGGCTATTGCACGGCAGTGTGCAGTAGTCTTTAAGTCTTGACTAACGATAACTCCTAAGTCACTATATGTCTGGACGACAGGTAGCTCAGTGTTATTCATCGTGTATGTATCTGCACTTTGATGACCGATATGCATCACAACACACTTGGAAGTATTTATCGGCAACTGCCATGTTTGAGACCGTTCAGATAACTTCTTCAGGTCATTTTGGCGTTCTAAGCTATCACCCTTACATCGTATCGTTCTCCATATCTTGACATCGTCAGCATATACCAAGACCGATGATGATGGGAGACGAGGACGGTCATTTACATACAAGAGGAATAGCACTGGCACCAAAACTGTACCCTGGGGCACTCCACTAAGCACAGTTTCCCAGCTAGATAACTTTGAGTTCACCCGAACTCTTTGTTGACGCCCAACTAAGAGGTCTTTTATCCACATCAATAGATTGCCTCCAATCCCGACATTCTTAACAGCCGGTTGTGCGGAACTTTGTCAAAAGCTTTACTGAAATCAATGAGGGCGACGTCTACAGGTAGCTTTCGGCCCTTAAGAGCGCAACAGCTTTCACGAGCCACTGATAAGTTAGTGAGACAAAGGTAACCTATTCTGAAACCGTGCTGCTTCTCCGAGAGGATCCGTTTTTCATCGAGATACTTAAACAGCTCCTTCCGAATAATCTTTTATAAGATTTTAACAACCCCACTAGTTAGGCTAACGGGGCGGTAATTCTCAGGTTTGTGTTTCGTACCTGTTTTGAAGACAGGACATACTATGGCGTTTTTTAGTCTTTTGGTAAACGACCTTGCGTTACGGATAGGTTAAAGCATATACTTAAATGTTTCGCAACGAAGTTAGATAATTCCTTCAGTAGCCTAGGATGCAATTCATCGGGCCCCGTGGATTTACATAGGTCCAGCTTATTTAGCAGACCAAAGACATCGAGTTCCTTAATGGCCACGCTATCCAGTGTTTGTGTGGAGGGATTTATATGGACTGACGGGAAGGGTGTTTCTATGGTATATACACTGCTGAATTAGTTTGAGAACACTTGAGCCTTACCAAAGTCGTCCTCCACTAATGATGCGACAGCGCTGTATCCCCATAGTGCAGGAATATTTCCTTTTCTCCTTGTCCTTTGGTTTATATAGGGATACAAGCGTTTAGGACATTCTATGGATTCCTTAACAATTTTTTCCTCGTACAAATTTCTAGACTTACGAAGGGTCGAGGCACAGGTATTCCGAGCTTTTCAATACTGAGATTTTGTCTCATCAGTCCCCAGTAACCTAAATCTATCCCACATTTTTCTTCTCTTATGGAGAAGGATGCGGACCTCCCTACTGAGCCATGGTGGTCAGTTTTTCGGCCCCTTTGGTATAGTCCAAGGGATGTGTTGTGTGGTAACTTTTAAGTATGAATTTTGAAATGCGTCGCAGGCCGTTTCAATTGAGGACTCTGGGTCTATTGTCCAATCTACTCAGTGTCTTTAACTACTGACCACGTTAGTCTGAATTTACTGACATTGTTGGTGGTTTCATAGAGCGTTATCATTTTCTTGTCGAGAAGCCCACAGTTTTTTGCGACTTATTACTCCGGCCTACATTGATCGTCAAGGGAGGCAGCGGTTGAACATAGATAACACAATTTCAAAGCACCTTGATTGCTGAATACCCACTAACTTGCTATATTTATCTGGTGGCCCATGACTAACTACAGCATTGTTCACTCAACCGTTACACAAAATATGACTAAGACCTCAAAGTCAGAAAAGCAAACCATGCGCATTTTCCTACTTTCAAAGACAATGTCATACTTCGATGGATGAATATGAAGTGGACTATTGCGGGACGTATACGCTCATTCGTTGGTAAATAATTATATCGCCAACACCGAAAGTGTTGAAATCCGGTATGCGCTAACTGACTCTTCTAAATCCGCGTATCTAATATAAGTAAAGTGGTCGAAGCAACAAAATGCTTCACTCCCTATGGTAATCTAGGCAATAAAGACCAGTTCAGATTTCTACAACCATTTGAATTCACGTTCTACTTTGGTCTCTTTTCACTTATTAACAAATGTTTAAAGAGAGGTTGATAATTGTTTTGTATATGCATTATTTTGATTATTCACTTTACACTACTTTGTATCATCAGTCGATCACTCAGTACCTGATTAAAAGTAGGCAAAAGCAGTAAAACTATTTTTTCGTTATGTATCCACAGACACGTGAATTCTTCGAATTCGATTACGTTATAAATCTGTTAATAGAACTGGCATTATTTAGTAATAACATGGTTCCACGTTGTACTTTTCTGGTACATCTATTAATGCCAAACACTGCCATAGACCATCGCTGTACAGGAAGCAAACGTTTACGTCAAGTCAAAAAACAACTGCCGTCGAGAGACGCTGAATACACTTACATTCCAGAATCTGATGGAAGATATGTATTTGGTCAATATGTCTAGTTTCAGAACTGAAACCAACGTTGTCTTTCTGTGATCGACATCTACGATCCTTAACTAAACACCGCATCGATTACTTATGGAGTCTAATATGTTAGACAATACAACCAGAAAATTTGCAATTTTCAGTTTCTTTTCGCCAACGCTTTCCTGAGTTGTAGTTCTTTCTCTGCTTCTCGTCTTTTAACACGGTCTGCCAACGATAGGTCTTTTCGGATAAAGACTCCTGAACCCTTTAATTTTTGTCCATTTTGTAAAATTAGGTCGCGTTCTTTCGTAGAGCGGAAAAATATTTTAAGCAGTCTGGAATCTTTTGGTTTCGAGTCCGCTAGACTCCCTACTCTGTACACTTTTAGCAAGCTGACCCCGGTGATATTTTGAGGCATGACTTGATTAAGCAGCTGCCTAATCAGTACAATATCATGCCCTAAACGAGCTTTATGTTCAAAGGTCTCACTCTCCTTGATTCTATGAAAAATAGCTGATCTGTCACTATGATCAGCTTTCGATTTTTCAAGTACTTTTACGGGAAGCAGAGTTCCCTTTTATATTCCTACTTTTCTTCCTTACAACCTGTACCCATTCGTCAACGGTGCTGGTAGAAGCAATAACAGTTGCGTCAAACCTAGTGTTGGATTTTGGTGGGTTGTCGACGACCTGAGAGGTCGGGTTATGTTAACCGCTTGAAACCGATCGAGCCTTGCGATTGCGGCTTCCAGGTGTTTCCTGCTGCATCCCATCTGGGAGACAGGAAACAGAAGACCATACTTTTCTTGAGCTTTTGTTTACGGCAGGCCCCTTTGGAGACTGCTTTTCATTCTTTGACGGGCGTGAGTCATCTATCATCGGACTAACCTTAGTTTCCTTCACGTTGATTGCGTGTCGACAGACGCATTCCGACTATGCTTGCCAAAACACTTCTTTGCAGCATCAACCAGTGAGATGGCTTCGGTTAACAAGCTGTTTGCGTCCGAGCAGCACTGTTGACAAATCCATTCACAGCCCTTCTTACTGAACCGTTTGAAAGTAGCAGGCGTTGAGTTCGTGCAAACTTCGTGGTACCAGCCTTTGCACTCCTCGCACTGCATGCCGCTTTCAACAGGATAACGAAACCATTTTGGTTTTCTTCAAAAAATGCAATAATACACTATTTACAATAATGTCAGCATTATACTTGCCATTTAAAAAAATTAGAGCAATAATAGTAGAATAATAGTAATAAATCGGGTCTGT